GTTCGGTTCGCATTAGCAACCGGAAACATGTACAAGAAAGATTCTCTGTGCAAAGAATGCTGACGGAAAAAATTTCCCGGCCACCGGAAAAACATGATCTCATCTAAAACCTCTCAATAGTTTAGCAACGAATACTTCACACGCAACACAATCTTACCCTTTTCAACGCCTAGCTTTGCTCCAGTGACAAGCCAATGTCCAGGCAAATCTTGTGGTCCTTTCAACATCTCTGATGAATCAACGATCTTAGCTAGTTTCCCTGATTGTCCTGACACGTCCTCTCGCTTCTCCTCAGCCGAACTCGATGTAGATGGACCTCCCGGTTCCAGTCTCGCGGTGGAAGCGACCGGAGTGTGGTCCCAGACAGACCGTCGTATTGTACAACCGGGGACTTTAGAGAAGAGTAGTTTTAGGTGCAAAACATTTTTTGATCCGAAATCCCATACCCCGAGCTGTGCTCCGGTGACAATGTGGACGCCCGAGAGGTCGCCGATGTGGGTCTCGGTGTGTTCTATAGGCGAGGTGCTTACGTGGGAGAAGTTCTTCCATTTGATTGGCTCGAACCAACGGCTATCTTGCTCCTCTGGTCCTTGCCATTTCGGTGCACCTATTGGTACGTGAGAGTCCCAATGTGGCTGCAGAATTTTGGGAAGGGAGACTAAGTGTTGTAAATGGATAGAGAGGCGGTTTTGTTTGCTTCCTTCTAAGCTTAGCCTGAGACCTGTGACGGGTTTACGCCCAACTGTTACCTGAAAATATACAAACGCAATATGTTCACTTTATCTAGCAACCGAAACAATAAGCAATCGAAAAGAATGGACAGCTCTGTGTTACCTGATCAGCGCTGATGAATAGTTTGGGACCCATTAAGCTAAATTGAAGAGATTGACACACAGGTTCTTTCCGTTGGAGGTTACTCTGTTCGGGAGCCCAAGCTCGAGCTATTTGGAAATCCAAGAAGTATTGTAAATCTTCGATAGGAGGCTTATCTGGCAAAAACGTAAAGAGCTATGTTTATGAGAATGTAAACAGGCGGTTTCGAATGTAAACAAGTTTGATTTTTAGATAGAAACTCACATTCCAAATAAAGGTCGATAGCACGAGTTAAATGCCTTAGACCAGGTACACCTTCGAGCAGAGAAACAATGGGAGTAAAAGTCATGTTGATAATGTCTGGAGCTGCGGGTACTGTCTCAGCCCATCGAGCATGGCTTTGCTCAAGATCGTCACCTCCTCTTCGCCTAAATATTACTGTAATATCCTACAGGAGAGAGCTTTTTCAGCTAATATAAGCCATAGTTTAAGAGGAAACGAAATTCATAAATAAGAGTAATGTCGCCATGGCCCGTGACGTTTTTACTAACCTTGTCTTTGTATTTTAAAGGGCCAGTAATAGATTGACTCTCTTCTTCATGAAACCTATGCTCCGTCATGTCATTGACATAGTTCTCGATTTCAGATACCGGTAAAGGAGAAGACTGATGCTGTCTGATGTAAACTACGTCTCTTCCACCAATCGTCACCGAAGTTACAATATGAGTACCGTAATTTTCAATAAAGCTGTACCAAAGAGTAAACAAGTGAGTGAAGAAACCATATCAGAATCATGATTAATGTCACCAAAGAATCACATACAAGTTTAGCTTCCATGAATTGAAAACTGCAGAACAAGGAAAATTTACTCTGATAATCTTTTATCGATTACAACATTCAGCAAAATCTTGCTATTCACCAGGATTTAAATGTCCTTTCTTCATTTGGCCACAAAAATTATGGGTTCGATCAAGACAACAAGAGGAAACTGACTCTAAAACCAGTTCTTTAACATTTCATCGGTATGTACCTTAAATGCCATGTTCATATAGAGATTAAAACAATGAGACCGGAAGATATAGAGAGGAATATACCTAGCTAACAAAGCAGGATCCCATGAGGAAGGAATAGCTCGTCTGATCTCGTTGCGCAAAACCAATGTAAGCTTTGCCAATTTGACTTCATAAAGCGGTATAAAATATCCAACCAGTGCAAGAGATTTCGTGGATGCTGCATCGACTTGCCAAGAACCCGTGTAATTGAACATAGCGTTAAAACATCCAAGCGGTATGTTCCCTTTTACACCTGATCTCTCATTGAAGTATTCTGCCATCTGCCAAAAACGAATTTCTAATGAATAACCAGAACCAAAACAGCGAAGACAGATAGATAGATACCGAAAATTCAAAACTCGTCAAGTCGCCACACCGGATAAATATGATCAGCACAAAAACCACTACAGCTATTTTCCCTTAGAATCTGACTTAATCAAATTACAAGCGCACCATATGCCACAATTGTTCCAGTCACAAGTTAAATAAAACTCAATATAAAGCTTCTAAATTTAGAAAGTCCAAGATCAATCTATGAGCTAGTGGTTCCACAAATATCACAGATCAGACATCATCTTAATGTAGATTTCGTAATCAAGACAAAGACATAAAAAGGGTTAAATCCAAAGAAATCGCACTTCAACATCAAGAATGAAATTCACCTGATGGAAAGTGCAAACAGGGATTCTCTGAATGCTATTTCTGCCTCGAGAACACTCAATATCAACAGGAACATTAGGAAGAACATATCCATCAGACAAGTCAAGATCTCTGTTCTGTCCTTCTTCGATACGAACTAGCCTTGACCCAGGAGCTCCTTTGCAATAGAGAAGCCGAACATCAGATGTGACATCAAAGCCGCGACCTAGAGCTTGAATCGCATTACGGAGCGTCGTAGTCAAAGCTTCAGAGCTTGGTATGCTGCTCAAGTTTCCACCTTTACGATTCTCCATTCGAACACAAAAAAAAAAGATAATAATCTTGAAGAAGAAGGCGATGGATGATGATTATAAACGCATCTAGGGTTTCTTGAGTTTGTGTGGGGAGGGAAATAAGCAGAAAAGTTTGGAGCTTTCTCTTTCGATTTAGCCTCTTACCAACACCATTGCTGGTTTTGACTCCAATAATCGGAGAAACCGCGTTTTTGAGATTTTATTG